GGGTAGAGTGCACTATTTTATCTGGAATAAAGTGTCTCCTCCCCGATGAAAACATGCCTTTCTTTGATTTCCTCCTGTCTTCTCAAGATCTTGCGAGGGATCGGATGCCGCCATTTCCATACTGGCGAATTCAGGGCTTGGACCTCATTTGATCTGAAACATAGCGCTGCTTTGAGTTGGAATCAGCTCGATGTCTTTTGAAAAGTATAAATGTGGTGACTAAATAATAATAATTTATGAATTATGAAGGGTTCATGAGGGAGGGGGAGGGGGAAAATGAGCAGCCGATATTAAGGGCTCAAGTAGAAAGCAAATGTTTTGAGAATGATGATGACAACAAATGTACAAATATGCTTGACACAATGGATGTATGTATGGATTGTAGTAAGAATTGTATGAGCCCCCAATAAAATGATTAAAAAAAAAAGTTGTCCTTTTCACTGACCTATTTTATAAAGCATGATGTCCCTTTCCAGGGACTGGTCTCCTGATTAACATGTCCAACGTATGTGTGACAAAGTCTCACCGTCCTTGCTTCCAAGGAGCATTCTGATTGTACTTTTTCCAAGACAGATTTGCCTGTTTTTCTGGCAGTCTTAAGGTACTTAGGGTATGATCATTTGGTAAATGCTTCAACAAGTAATTTAGGAATGGTATGGAAGAATCTAAAAAAATTTGCTTAGACTTTTTTTTTAAAAATACAAGCTTTTCGTAGCATCAACCAAAATTGTACATTTATCTTAGTTAAGCTCTGTAAGCCATTTTTTCTGTTTGCTTACCAAGGCATGCATGCAACAACCATTTATCTGCCATTGGTAGCATGGCTGTGATGCCAACTAGGAAGAAAGCCCTATGGATCACCGTGGAAAGTAAATCTCCAATAGACTACGGAGCTGGAGCAGGATTGGGCATCATCGTGCTCAGCTGCCGTGAGCCATGCTGACTTGAGGGAAGCTAACGATTATAGATCGGCACGGGAGAGGGAGCTTAAAGCACTGTACTCAGATTTTTCCTTTTGAACACATGCCATTGTAAACTTACCAGTTCATGAGGAAATATAAAGAGAATGGACTTTTTTGATTTCTAGACGACTCTGGAGTTTCATTCACATTTTTTTATGCCACTCCCGACACAATTTCACAATGAATGTGAAAGGTGGAATGATTGTCAAAGATTCGAAAAAAATGCGTCATGTCAAGTCCCAGCTCTCAGGTCCCATTGTAAGATGCAGTGTGCTAAGTGCTAAGGCAAATGAGTGCACAATGCGTTCTGGAAGCCCAACGCATCATCTGAAGCCATGCATTGAACCGTGGCGTGGAAGAATACTGAATATACCGTGGACTGACGAAAAGGACAAACGTGCCCGTCACAGAAGTATATCCAAAATACTCTTTAAAAGCCTAGATGGTGAGACTTCCTTTGGCCAAATGATCGAGAGACCAGGTCTTGGAAAAGGACATCATGCTTGGTACAGTGGAGGGTCAGACTCAAAGGGATGGACACGCTGGCTACAACAATGGGTTCAAACAGCAACAACCAAGGATGGCGCAGGCCTGGGCAGCCTTTTGTTCTGTTGTGCATAGGGTCACTGTGAGTCAGGACTGGATGGCCCTCACAGCAAACCATCTCTCCAGAGTAGCCTGGAAATCAAGTCAGTTCTTAAATTGGCCGTTTGCAGGTTTGTTTGTAATCATTTTCGTGAGTGTCGGTCTGTTCGGTGCTGTATGGACTCAGTGAACATTTGCGTGTCCCCTGCAGCTAGGGACTAGGCAGGCGACTAAATCCCATGGATCAGGTGCTTCCTTCTGGTCTTTGGGGTGTGTGGCACGGGCCTCGTGGTCAATTACAGATTACGGGTAGCAGTGAATGAGAATGCTACCAGAGGTTCCGCAGAGGTGTTGGCAAATACCCAGTGATAGTTTCTAGGGAGGCCTTCTTCGGGGAAGGTGAGGCTGTGAGCTGTACTATACGGAAACCCCACCTTTCACATAGACTGAGCCAAAAGGATCCGCATGAGCTCAGTTCTCAGCCCGATGATGACTCCGGCCTCCCCACGTTGCTATGCTTGCCACCTCTGTGGAAATTGCTCTCTCATCACCCAGAACTAGATCAGACCTTGTTCCTGGTGAATCTGAGATAGGTCAAAACATTTCTGACCCGAGGAGCCCTGGAGCCCTGCAGGCATAGGGGTTGCCCATTGGGCTGTAAGCCTCAAAGGTTCAGCAGTTTGAAACCACCAGCCACCTTTGCGGGAGAAAGACGGGCCTTTCTACTCCCGTAAAGAGTTAGTCTGCAGGAATGGTGGCCGGTGCCAAGCTGCAGTGATCCCGACTCCACCGGGTGCATCAAGGCCTCCAGAATAACTCAAGGGCCAAGCAGGCAATCATACCTGGAGCTGAGCAGCCCTGTGGATCGGCATCAGATGCCAGCTGCCACCGGGGAACTGGGAGGCCCTCCCACAGTCCGGCTGCTTGAGGAACCGAACCGAGGTGTGAGCTTGGAAGCAGAGCCCTGCCGAAGAAGCCTTATGAGGCTGGGTGCCCAGTAGACCCTAGACAGCTCTGGGGGTAGCTGCATGAAAGACCTTGAGCCAGATGCACCCAGCCAAGTTACCCCTGGCTTCTGAGTCACAGAAACTGGGAGGTACTACAGGCTGGCAGTTTTCAGCTCCTACATTTTAAGGCAATTTGTGTATGCAGGAAGAAATCATACAAGGGACAAAGAAAAACAAAGTTACAGTTTCAAAAACTCACAGGAGCAGTTCTACCCTGCCCTGTAGGGTTGCTAAGACTCATTATTGACTTGATGGCAGGGAGTTTGGTGTTTTGGTTTTGAGGTTCAGTCACTGGGGAGAAGCCATAAGGTCAGGAGTCTACACAACTCCCCAAACTTCGGAGCAGCTGCTCTCTCTCTCTCTCTCATCCCCTGGGACTAAGGCACTCACTAGAAGCACTTTGTGCCTCATCAACTGCTTATGCAGTCTTTGTTACCCACTCATCGAGAGCTGGGTCTACACAAATGGATTCTGTACTGCCAGGCCCAGCTGACGCATTGCCCCTGTGGGTTTGTGGATTCTGTAAAACAGGTTCATAGAACCCACGAAGATGACTACATAGATTTACAGTTACTCATTTATGAGAATCAAAGGATATAGCACAGGGACACCCAAGATCTGGGAGAGTTCTCAGCACAAGGCCTCCATTGTCCTAGGGATGTGCCATTCCTTCCGAGCTTGGACATTTTCACTGATCCCAGGAAGCCCCAAAGAGAGCCCTCCAAGGTCCTGGTTGTGATGGTGATGGGGCAGTCCCCAGGTCATTGGAACCTCAATGTGTTTTGATGCATAGCTATGCCAGATCCAATCAATACGCACGTCTGCATAAGGCCCCCATGCCCTATTTCTGAAGGCGGTTGCTAGGTGGCAGAGCCTGTTTAGTTCCTACATGCTTGACTATTTTGGAAAACAAAGTCATTTTGATGGATTGAGTTATTTTTAGAAACCAGAATGAAAGGGCCAAACCCAATTCGTTGTTCTCTGGTGGAAGCAATGCTACCCCAGGCATTTGAACTTCCAAATGTACTGCCTCAGCACTGTTGTATGCCGCTCAGATTCTCCCAGCTGCCCTTTCTCTTGGTCACAGGTCACCCCTGCATGCTGAAGCCAGTGAAACATCCTGAAAGACTGACTTCCTGAGTGTTTGCCTGAGGGCCGGATGCGGCCACTCTTAAGTTCAGGGAATTTGCCCAATGGACTAAGCAAGGGCAATAGAAAAGGGAGATGGGAGGGCGCTGATAAATAAATTCTCCCTCCTTTCAGGAAATACTACAAAGGGTGTTCTCTCTTTGCAGCCCTTCTGGAGAGGTCCTGTGTGCAGAGTGAACGTCACCACCAAGGGTCGTCATCCGTTGCGGGCCGGCCGTTGCATCAGCATGGTGATTGTCTCACATTGCTTTTCCCGTCACCCTGCGCCTCTGGACCTGCTCCCCGCCAAGTGCCAGCGTTTCAATCTTTGCTTTGACCTCTGCTTTCTAGAGAATTTATGCTAAGACCATTTTAAAAACATTTTATTGGGAGTTCTTAGAGATGGAACCCATAGTTCCATCAGATTAGCATAATTGTACAATTGCTGCCATCATCATTTTCAATACAGTTTTTCGTCTTGAACTCCTGATATCAGCTCCCCTTTATCCCTTCTCTCCCCTCCCCTACCACCCTCAAGAACCCTTAATATAGTATATTATTATTGTTTTCTTTTGCCATCACTTACACTGTTCCATGTATCCAATCACCTAAAATTCTGATGTTCGTTCCCTTCTAGTGGGATTATACAGTCATCGTTGTTATCAGTTTCCCCTTTCCCCTCCCCCTTCCCATAGCCTCAGGGGGTCATTAGGCTCCTTACTGTTTCTGAGGGGTTTATCTATTTTGAATTTTGTGGACCAAAATATCTTGATTGTACCAATGTACATACACAGGTGTAGCAAGATATAGTGAGGTAAATCTAAAGCCATAATA